CAGGAAAGCTAAGGCCACCCGAACAATCCGATGGTTGTTACTGAGATACTAATACACGCTAGGCGCATCTTTATTAAGTCTTTTGGTCTTAAGCTATACACCTCCAGCTAATATGCGCAGCCTATTCGATTGCACACCTCTTCACTAGCCGCCACGTGGTTGCTTGCAAAAATATTTTTTATTTTCTTTTTTTATAGGTTATCAGAAATAACCGATTATCTCCGAAGTACCCATTGCTATTGCATTTGGTGTGGTGCTCAGTACGATTCAGAAGAAGAATTAGAGAACAGCTGTCCAGGAAAGACGAGAATAAGCCATGCGGGTGTCGATGAGGATAACTGAATTCACTTGAATGAAAATTTAATCAGCCGCAGTTTATAGCGTCGTTCTGCAACAAAACATTTGGCAGTTTTCTGTGTTTTCTTACAGTCTTTGTTATTCAAATAATATGAATCAGAGGATAAACCACAATATAAGCCAGGCGCAACGCACCAGGCTTACCGATACTATCGTGCGTTTTTGCGCTAAGCTTGCAAATCATCAACAGCAGGAATTTGTTCCTGCGCTGTTGTTTAATACTTAGATTCGTACTGGCTGTGTTTTTACTCCTTTCTGCATGCAGGGATGTCTAGGGAAAATGGTTCGAAGGGAAAAATTAAACGAAAGAAGAAAAAAAGGTAGGAATTAGCATAAAATTTGTGCTTCGCGATAACCAAAAAAATATTCCCTTTGTAATAACGGTGCCTCTGTCAATCAGCGGCACCGACAGTTAATTATGTATTCAATTTCTGTTGTGAACTGAACCCAGCTGAAGTGAGGTGGAACTTCAGAAGGGCCCAGTGGCCGATTTTTTCGGCAAATAAATCTGTGTCAACATTTTTACTCGACGGAGAAGCACTTGTCTTGCTCCTTCCCCACCAGCCGGAGGTATTCCTGCAGACAGTTTGGCTGTCGAGGCGCAAACACCAAGCGGCGATATTTGCTGCCGGCTGAAGCTACTCCTCGGTCATCCACAGCAAACCGAGGCTGCAGCCTCCACCTCTTTTTTACATCATTTTTATCGCGTATATGAAGCTGCTGTTGCCTCCACTTTATTAAAGCATTTGTGGAGGTC